GTATAAATTGGTTTTAAAGGGGCTAAAGGAGTTTAAAGGGGGTGCCTTATTGTGATTCTGTTAGTTTCTTTTTTATCTCCGATTCTGTGGGGAATTCTAATGTGACCCTCAGCCAAAAGTCGTTTGTATTGCAATACTACACAACATATTTTTTTCCCGAAAATCTTTGTTGGGGGGGGGGGGCGCTGGGGCTGCCCGGAACCCTGCCCAGGGGTCATGCCCGACCGGGCACCCGGGCGTGTACCCGGGCATAACTCGTGTGCCCGGGTGCCTGGAAAAACAGCCCAGCTTTGAAGTAGTAAAGGCGAGAAAGCAGGATCTTTTTTTCAGTAAGCTTTTCAATAGAGTAATTGATCTTGAAAAAACTTCTATGTTTCTGCAGCCCTCAATAAAATCGGTGGTCTAATATAATGAGCTTGTGATAAGGTAGTTTGCCTACATCTGCTTGTAAACCAGTGTCCGTGCATGATTTCGGAACTCCTGTTTCTTCCACTTTTCACATCGCAATTCCTCACCCTCTTCTTCTACATTGCACGTTGCATTCAGGGCCATCACAAGAAAAGACAAAGACAATGCTGAGTATGCCTCTGCACAGCATGTGCGTCTTAAGCAGTCTAATTTTGGTCCAACTTGTGATGTCCCATGGGACTTTTCCAACCCATCAGTCCACGGCTTCACGCTATGGACGCATTTGGCCAGAATGTCCAACTCTACATTTGAACTTATGAAAACGTACCATCAGGAGTATGAAAGAATTCGCTGAATCGCCGGTCTGCCACAAATATTGGATTTGTTTCTGAGAATTGTATCAAGTCCTTGATCCAGCCAAGCCTGTTGAGTTTTACACCTCCCCTCCACACTGGTGCAGCTTTTGAAAACTCGGCTCGAGGAGGGCCTTTGCAGAAGCCCCAAAGAGGCGTCCCCGAATTGATGTCATCCTCGTCGTACCCCTTAGGCAAGCAACAAATCATCCACGATTGTGAAAAAAAAAAACAAAGGAGGTGATTAGGCAGAATAATGAATCCTGAATATCTCACGGAGACAACAACCTGCACCTTGCACACTCCATAGTAACCACAACAACTCTTAACAAAGAGTGAAGCCAGATAAGGTTGAGGAACGTCGGGAGCTGGATAGGTAGTATTACGCGCCCCGGCCATAGACAAGACCTTTATGTTTTAAAAATAAATTAATAATAATAATAATAATAATAATAATAATAATAATAATAATAATAATAATAAAAATGGCATGGATGATGAATATATATGATATATTATATCTTTTTTTTTTTTTTTTTGGAGAAGTTGTCACTTTTTATTACAAAAACAGATTGAAATCGAGGCCGGGGACCTCACAATTCTACCCGGTGGGCACATCGTGCTGGAAACCGGGTCCAGCGTCCCATGCTCAACCTGCAATCAAGAGCTCCTCAAAAAAGTTCACTTGAAGTGCTGTAGAAAGAGCCAGACTGATCTGGCAAATCCCAGTATCTATCTGTCTGTCACTGTGTCATTCTAAACCTCAAGATCATAAAGCTCGTGTTGGTTTATAACAACTCTTGGACCCCTGTCCATCTCCATTTCAGTTATATCCTGGAGAACCAAGAGAGGCTGTACTGTGCTTATCACTGCGTGTTGATGGGAGGTGGTGACTCATATTGTCCTCCGCTAAGAACCATCTCTTACAGACTATTACTCAGAGGGTCTACTAGCGACCTTTCTCCTATAATTATCTGATAATGCCTAGCTCAAGCTATTCCTGCTGAGACTGCAGCATTTCTAGGGTGGTCTTAGCCATGTTGCTATAGCCATCTTCCCATCCGTAGTAATGCTAGCAAACTTATTGTTTCGTGCCCATGTTTTCCGAAACCAAAACACATTCTTTTTTTTTCGACCCTCTCCTCCTTTCCAGTCGACCGGAATCATGTACCGAATGCTATTTTTGATTTGTGACTGTTGTTGCTGGAAGGAGATTCGCTCTCCTCTGAATACTATCGCATTCCGAGCTCTCCATATTTCCTGTAAAATCACGCCTCTGCAAACCAAGGCAATATAGCCCCATCCCTCTGACAGTGACCCACTAGAGCCCTGAAGGATACCACAGATGATCCAGTCATCTGACCACTTCAGTTCCTTGTCCGCCAAGATTTCCCACTCATGTTGCCACCATTGCCAGACCTCATCGGCCAGCGGGCAATCTGCCCACAGGTGGGCATTAGACTCCCAACCCCACTTACACCTGATGCAGGTGATTGAGATGTCCATGCATTTCTGGGAGAGCCACAGGGTCGTTGGAACGACCTGCAGAGACTATAGCCAAAGCAGGCTCGCGGTCCTTTGGGATGGGATCTTAGGCAGGCTCTTCCACAGGGTACTCCAGTCCGGCTGGGTAGCTTGGGACCCTTTTATCCCGCTGAATCTTTTTTCCGCGATAGCTCGAGGAGTGATCCCCTTTGCTTGACTTATCGATCTGACACCCACTTTGGTTGTGTACAACCGCAGAGGGACGGGCTTGGAGCTTTCCCTGTCCTGAGGGGGGAAGCTCCAACCCAGAGAGATTCGTTCAATTTTACAGTCTGCCGCTTCCCCCAGAAAGTGGGCTTCTTTCTTCCCTTCTGTCTGAATCACTCTAACCTCAGCGCAGTCCCTTGTTGTATCTGCAGTGCTGTCCCCGAGATGTCTTAGAATCCCACCTATCTTCCTGTCCTTGTAGAGTCTCCATTCCTCCACCTTGAGTCCTATGGGAAGTGCGGGGCCCACCACTTTCCAGATAACTTGGTGGTCCTCCTCTGAGCCAAGCCAGGTGCCAACGGCATTATCTGTGTCCGACTGTAGCAGGCTAGTCCAGTGGGCCGGAATTGCTGCTTTAAGCTTCTCGTAGTTGGCCTCCACCAGGTGTAGTCTTGGCAGTACACTTCGTAGTTCCTTGGGGGAACGCCAATTCCCTGTCTCGAAGTTCCATAAGTGCTTCACTTGGATGACACCCTTCTCTTTTTTTTTTTTTTTTAAAAAAAAAAAAAAAAAACGACCCCACCAGTGTTAGCGCTGCTGATAAGAGCAGGCACCACTAACACCTGGGGGGGCTCCATCTATTGGTGGGGAGCTTCACCTGCTGGAAATCGGGTCCAGCGTCCCATTACAAAGAAGATAAATCTGGGTTTTTTTGGAAAAACATGGGGCCAGTGACTGAGGGACCTGCCAGCATTGATTACCCTGCAAAAACAGGGGATTGACTGAACAGGCCTGTATAGAAATCAGTAATGAAGTCTTTGGGAGCATTGGAAGCTTTGGAGAACTTGCTGTTGCCTTCTGTATCTCTTCACCCTCCTTTTTTTCTCTCTCTTTTTTTTTTTTTGTGATGCATTATGATACAATTGGCTGGAGGGTGCCTGCCAGCATTGATTGCTCTGGAAACCAGAGGATTAACTGAGCAGGTGTGAGCAGTCCAACGGGTGTGACTGAAAGGGATGCCTGCCAGCATTGATTACTCTGCCACCAGAAGATTAGCTGTGCAGGTTTTGGGGGCTCAGGGAGTAAACCTCTTCACCCTACCCTGGGCGCCAGATACCCACTGCTGAAGGACCGGTTCCTCCCTCTCCCCAAGTGCCTTACACCCTGGAGATATTTGCCTCCTTGTCTTTGCAAAAAATTTCCTCTGTTCCATTCAATATCCCTTGGGGATCAGAGGGGACCACTGGGGGGCACCAGTGGGTCCTCTCTTCCAACCCTCTTCCTCTGAAACCAACCTTTCTTCCGAAAGGCACAGCATTCCTTCTGGTAGAGAACAAGAAGACGAGTTGCAGGTCTGGGAAGGGAAAGATAATTGGCTGTGTCCAACCTCTCTGCTTCAGAACCTTTCCTCTAAAGCCAGCGGGTGCGGTGGGAAAGGGTCTGAGAAGTCTTCTGCGGGGCGCATGGGAATGCTAGGGTCCACGTCTATCCAGTTCTTGAAAGAAAGGTGGTAATTTCGAAGGATTTCACTTCGTGTGCCGTCCTCTTTGTCCTCCCCACTCTTCTCTCCTAACCAGTGTACTCTGCCTACCCATCCCTCCCTCTTTCCCCCTAGCCATTCTTCTGCGAACTGAGTGATCTTGTTTGATATGTCCTTGCCTGTGTGGAGGGTATCTAGAACTCTTTTGGTTTCCTGCCACCTTTGCATCAGTTCCAGTTGGAAGTGGGTTTTAAATTGATCCCTTCTTTCTTCTCCCTCCACTCTGTTCCCTTCTAAGACCAGTGCACAGCGTTGCCACCACAGGGTCCACAAGACTGTCTTCCTTCCCAAGGAGAACATATTCCTTTCGAATGTGTCATTTTGTAAGGGCGGGTGATGGCCTAAAAGGATCGCTCTCCAGTCCCAGGGCCATGGCTGATTTGGAAACATGTGTCTCCAAATCCTATCCCACCATCTCCATGTCAGGATGGCAGTTGGGCATTGCAGAAAGATGTGTTCGATTGTTTCCAGCCTTTTCCTGGCTGGGAAACCCTGAAGGCAGCGTGTGCACCATGGCAGGGCTCTGCCTTGCTGCTCCAACTGTGTATGATCGATCAGCCAGTTGTTTGTGGGGAGGCAGCGGTGAGCAATCTGCCATTGTAGCGAGGTGATTTTCGCCGGCCTGCACTTGCAGTCTTGAAACCACCGTATCGGAGTAAGGAGGTGTCTATCCACATTGAGGTGCTTCTGCCACCTATCGATAATCACATCTTTCAGCTCTCGGCGGGGTCTGAGCATCCTGTAGGTGCCTTTTACCGTGAGTGTGGACAATGTGCGGGGTTTCACAGTGCTGCCTTTGGCCCTTACTTGGGGTGGCCATTGCCATTCTAGTGGGTCCAAAGGGAGTTCGGAGAGCGGGGTCTCGGACATAAACGCTCGTCGTTCCTCCCCTTTTCCAATTGTGCAGATCCTATATAGGTGGTCGTGATGAATCCATACGAAAGGGACACGGCTGCCCGTCAATTCTCCTCTTCTTCCTATTGTGTACCACTCTACCAGGGCGTTCTCCGGGCGCATAAGGTGGATCTGTCCCGCCTGTCCGGGGTTCTCAATCTGTCCCACCCAGTCCCCTTCTTGAAATCTGCGCCCTTTTCTCAGGATGGATCGCCACCCAATCGGAAAGGCCTCCGTGATGGTTTCCAGACTCTTTTCTGTGTTATGACAATATCTCAGTCTCTCCCTCATTTGGTTCAGACTTTTCCAGTCTTTTTTTTCCTCATCCCACAGGTCTCCAACCCTCATGATTCCATTCTTTACCCAGCCTTTCCATGGAGATTCGGAGCTGCAGAATATAATGCCTTGGGGGTTGGTTATGCGGGAGTTTCCGAAGAGGGGTTGCCTGGCCACTTCTTCCCACCGTTCCGGTGGCGGACGATGTGGTAGGGGTAACTTCCTCCATGTCTTCAGAAGTCTGGGCCAGAAATCATCTTTTGGTAAGTCAAGACGAAGGTCGGGCTTGGTTCGTGCATTCCCTCGAGCCGCCCGAGGGACTGACCAATATCGGTCGTCCAGCCAGCTTAAGGGATGTACTGAGGGGGGGGCTACTGGAGCTAGACGTGCCAACTGTTCATAGGCCAAAGGTCTCCAAACCAGGGTGGTTTCGAAGATCAGTCGTGTCACCCACTGTATTACCAGTGCCAGTACCTGTGTCGCCGGGTCCAGGATACCTAGCCCCCCTTTGGTTTTTGGCTGTACTACAGAGTCCCATGCAACTCGGCTGATGACATTCGTGTTTTTGCTGTCCCCCCGCCACAGGTAGGCTGCCACCTTCCTCTTCAGTGCTTTCTGGGCTGGCTCGCTAAGCGGCCACAATACCGATTTGTACCATAACGTGGCCAGCACCACATTGTTTATTACTAGTGCTCTACCGAAGAGTGAAGTATGTTTGTGATTCCATTGCGA